CCTGGGGAGTCAAGGTTTACTTTTACATACGTTAGGTTTCTGAAAGACATTTTGCTCAGACCTTTTGGTTCTTCAAAATGGATGTGAATCAAAACCAACCAGGTAATTACTATTCACACTGTACATTTATGGCTGTGCAGTGTCTCCAAGACTATTTCCCATTGCATTACCAGTCATGAAGAGTCTGTTCTGGATTTTCTCACTGGAATACTGACCTCTGCTTCACCAGATCATGTTCTGGAGGACACACGTTTACAATGGCACCCGACCTCTGACCACCTCAACATCACCACATCAAAATAACTGTGTTCAAGTAAAGATGTTACCTGGAAATCTACAAAAGGCTCACAGTCCTCACAAAAATTAATACAAAGGAAGTTCTCGGGACAAATAAAAGTGTTGACTATGTAAAGTTTTGGTTACATATGGTAAAAAGTAATAAGCAGAAGGTGAAGGATATATATTCCCTTTCTAAAGGGTATGCCCTTAAAGGACAGCAGAAATCCAACACACAGCAAACAGCCTCTAAAGGGTAATGATTTTCTTACTTAGAGCTGATGTATCCTACTGTCTCACAACTGGTCAGCAGCAGGTTCCAGATGCATTTCCCACTGTAAGGCAAAGCTGACTGAAAAGCAGGACCTTTGCAGTCTTCAAACAAAGCCCAACAGGACGAAAAAGCCAAACCACAGCAGATATCCTAGGAGGTTACCTGTGGAGTCTCAAAAGTTCTGTGCAGAGTCTGCTCTGCTTGTTCTGACATCCTCTGGGTCATCTCCCTGCGGGTTTCTCTTGTAACTGCCTTCAAGCAGGAACGTGATAGGTACCACAGAAATGATGGCAGATGGTTAAACGAGACAAGCAGGCCTTGAAAAAGGGAACTACGGATTTAACCACAGGATGGAAGGCACGCAGTTTAGCCCAGACTTGGTTTTTACTTTATTTATTGAGGGTTAATAATATACCATAACCTGATAATTCTCTTAACAACTTGGTAAGAGTAGGAATGTTTAATGACTGCAATGAAATAACCTATAGCCGGCTACCTATGGACCACTGCTGATTTGTGCTGCCCCTAGAAAACCAAACCCAAACGTTGCTGGAAAACCCTGCAGGTTTTGCTCCATCTTGCCCAGTGCTTCTGGCCTTCAGCCACGGGAGGATCAGCGGTGTTCCAAGACGTTACCAGCACCGGGAGCTGAGAGCTGTGAATCCATGGGCTTGGATAAAGTGGGTGGACAAGCAGCAAAACAACATACCCAGGGGCTTAGAGACCCTGTGAGCCCCACAGCGAGGGGGCTGGGCCCTCCTGCCTTCCCTCAGCGCGGGCTGAGGCAGGGGAAGGGAGGGAAGGGAGGAGGAGGCAGGGGAAGGCAGGAGGAGGCAGGAGGAGGCAAAGGAAGGCAGGAGGAGGCAGGAGGAGGCAGAGGAAGGCAGGAGGAGGCAGA